CTGCATAGTGTTAGTTTTCTAATCAGTAATCAGAAACATTATGTCTGACCTTAATGTAACTCCACCGTCACTCTGTATCACAAATTAAACTAGAATATTTGCATTTACCACAATGTGATAGAAATAGTTGTGTACAGAATTAAAAGAGAACCTACAGACTGGATGAATTCGAAAGGATCAATGACCTTTATTGAAGGGACAGATGGCTTAAAGGGACTGCAAAAACATGTTTTTCATTGCTAACATCCAAAATTAGGCATTATATCTCAGTAGATTTTTGTATTATTGATGTGCATTGGCTTCACAATAAAAAGAGAACCTAAAAGAGAAGCTAAAATCTTGCTTTCTCTCACACCACCACACAGCTGGCCGATCGCTGCGTGAAGTGGGTATGTAAATGTATCGTTTGGCCATCTGACACGCAAAGAATTGTCTGAAGGTGGAGTGAACTGTCAGTTTGTTTGCACACTGAATATCTCTGCGATATGATTAAAACTACAGAGAAATCAGTGACTTCTAATGAATGTATTTTCAATTCAATGTTTCTCACTATCACAGCACAAGATGAGATTTCTGTGAATTGTAGCTGCTTTGAAAATGAATAGAAAACTTCCTCACATACTGTCGAGGCTGATGAGAAATACCATGTTAAGAATGAGAAGTATGCTAGGGATGAAAAGAGGATGAAATTTTGCTTTTACCATAGAGCAATGTGGGAGGTCCCGTCATGCTTGTGTGATTATCTCCTGCTTCGCTTGGTCGGAACAAAAGAGCTTTTTGGTTGCACTTTTCACCACAAACTTAATTACTCCTAACTTAACTTCCAAAGATCAAACATACAGTAGGATCAGAGTGTGGAGCAGAGACGGCTGATATCGGCTTTGTTGGTTTGTTGAATTTCCAGACCTTTAATTAATTGGATTAAGATAATAAGGATGAGAGCTTTATAAAATGTAAGACTGGTGGATTACTGAATGTGATCTGAAGGATTTCTGTCATCACTGAGCTCTGAAGCCTGTTTATCAAATGTGTAATACCTTAGAGGATCAAAATCACTTTCTAACACAAAACAAAATACAGTGAAACCCTTTATTCTCTTTTTTTTTTCAAAATGACCCCTTGGGAACAAAAAGCAAAGCTCTAGCAGAGCTGCACTGTTAGTTACAAAGTTTATATTGTAAGCTTTTACTAGTACACACATACCTTATCAGTATCCTGAACTGATGGTGAGCTACTGAAATGTATTGGGCCTCATGTAAAAACATATTTACATTCTTTTTTTAAATCTCTGACTTTTGAGCTTTGCTTGTAAGATGTTTCCAAGTCTGATTAACCAAACATTCTTAAAGTAACTACCTCCAACCGGTCGAGGCAGACAGTAGCCCACCAAGTTTTTCTTTGCCACTCTTGCCAATTGCTTGCTCATGGTGGGAATAGTTTGGTCTCTGTACAGTCTAGAACTGCTCTAGAATTAAAGTATCCACACATTACTTTTGTCATGATTTGGCACTATTGGCTATAGGTAGGGCCTTTTGTGTTGTTTGCAGGTTTTTCACAGCCACCGCAGTTTGTCCTACACGATCTCACGACTAGCTGCACTAAATCATACACACTGGTTCTTTAACTGCACAAACTTGTCATGAATTGCTTGTATAAGTTGGTAAGTTGGTGGGAAAGTTTCAAATCAAGTCAATCAGTTAACAAAGAAGAATTTCACATTGTGGAGCATCAAGTCCTGGTGTCAGAAATCTGTACACAGAAGCACAGTAGCTGTATTTGAGCACCCAAACAGAAAATAGTAATAGAATGAAAAGAATAGAGACGATGCTAGAACTGATTGTAAATGTACAATGTGTAATTTCTGCCACTGGGGGTCACCAAACAAAACAAGAAATACAGATGACTTTGTAAAGTAGCATTGTTGTTTTCATTGTTAAACATCCAGCATGGCTCATGAAATGAATAGAAGTACACAACTCAACAAAATATATAGCATAGGTCTAGTGTTTTTGGACAATTTAATGCAGACATGTTTTAGTTGTACTGTTTCACTGAATGTAACAACTTGTTCCGTATTCTTTTGAAACAATGTCAGAAATGTCTGTTAAGTGTTGTAAATAGTTACAAAAATAAGGTAAAATGTGGCTTTAGTAGTTGATTTTTAAGGTTGAAGTGATTAGAAAATTCATTGAATTACATAGCTTTTTCTCACAAGCAATGATTGATTAGGTCTAAGTTTTTTGATGTACCATAAACTTTTATCATTTTACCAAAACTGAACTAAAAAGGTATTGGGTCTCTTACATAACTCATCAAAGCTCTGATGGTAAAGTAATTGAAAACATTCAGAAAGATCCTGTGGGAGTAAACCCACATGAATTATTACAGTTACAGTTGAGAAACAAAGTGCCATTCACACACACACACACACACACACACACACACACACTAATCACACTCACATTACACTTCAGCTTACATCTTCTCACAGAATATTGGGTTGAACGTTGCCTCTCAAAGGATCAAAAGGGAAGCAGACAGTGTTTCATTGCTGCTTTCTCTCATAACACTCTAACTTCGGCTCGCGTGTCCATTCTCCAGAAAAAACATCCTTCTTCCCAATGCTTTCACGCCGGCGATCATGCTACAGCTTTCTATAGCTCTCTGTTTCTTCTTTGAGGCAGTCACTGTTCATTTTCCACTCTTGACCGTTTTATTGCCTCTCGGTGACACTGAATGCATCGTATGGATGTTTCTCTGGTGCCACAGAGATCAGAATCATTTAGGGCGTTTGCTGTGTTTAAACCCAATGTCTTACCGATGGCAACAGATAATATTAATTACTTCACAGCTGTCTCTAGGGAAAGTCTCTTTTTGCTCGTCTGCCACAGAGGTCAGAGCAGCCTCTCACTGGATATGGAGATGAGTCAGTGTCTGCAGTTAAATGCTTATGTAAACCAGGAAGTTGGTGGGATCAGATCCACTTCTGTTGTTTTATGATTTATCCTTGTAATAGGCTTCAAAGTTTTCCTGCAGTTTTTAATTTCTTCAACACATCAGTCCATCTCACCTTTGTTCATTTTTTTTTAACTTATTTTTTCATTATTTCTTTATTTTCTTACTGTCTAGCCGTCCAATAATGTTCAGTTCAGCTTGGAAGCTGCCATTTGTTGGAAACGTACCTGCTCACGCAACCATAAAGTAATCAGGTATATGGTACAAGTTTTCTTTTCATCTGTATTTGAACAAGTGTAAGTATTTGTGAAATTTCAACAGCCACACTACTGTGGGAAAGGTTTGGTTAGATTTAGGCATAAAATAAATATTGGTTCGGGTATGTTCATGAATCGTCACGCATACTCCACAGACAGAGCAAATGTGTCACACGAGTGCTGCACAAGCAAGGACCAAGGAGCCCTGTTTCCTAAAATGTCCAATAATATTAATTTATTGATTTATGTTCACATTCAACACTTAGTATTAATACAGTTAACGGTGATATTGTTATACTGCTGTGAAAATCTCTAGTGGAAGACCGGGAAGGGACC